CGCTTGATTATATTCCAAGGTCATATTATGATTAATTGATGAAATATGGGCTCTAATTGTGAATTGTATATATCTCAGGTTAAGGAGCTTATATTATGCTAGAAAATGTGATTTGGAACCATTTTGGAGCAACAAAGATCCCTCGGAGTTTTGTATGGTTGAAGACAAGGCAAAATATCAAGGCCACAGCACAACTGGGCTAGCGCGCCCAAATGCGCTGCAGCGCTAATAAATGCGCGGCCAAGACAGAACCTCAGCAAACTAGCGCGGCCAGATGCGCGGTCAAATGCGCGGCAGCGCTAGTCCAAAATCCGGCGATGGTTCATTAGGGGCAAAAGTGGAAATCTGGAGAAAAAATTCACTTAACCTATATAAGGTCAAGCTCGCCCAAGGAAGTTTTTATCAAGGTTTTCATAGGCTAAAGCAAGACAGAGAGAGGCAAGAGGCAAGGAGGAAATTGGATCATCAAGTTTTTCTTTTCTTCTCTTCGTTTTTGCTAATTATGATGAAATTGAATATACTTGTGATGAACAATAGTATGAGTGGCTAAAACCCATTGTTCTAGGGTCATGGGTAAAACATGAATGTTGTTGTTTGAGGTTTAATTTGAAAAAGTTGGTTTATCATATTGGGTTGTTTATTTAATTTTGTTATTAATTGCTTTGGTGAGTAGCTAACAGTGAAACACTATCTACGAATCTAGAGTTGAACTCGAACGTGGAAACTCTAGGTTGCATATAGAATTAAATAGAGTAGGTTCTTGAACCCGGGCCTCGGGGAACGGATTTGCAATTGGGATAGACATATTCCCACTTGCCTTGCTTGGTTAAAATACAGGAATTGTACGTGCGTTCTTGTTAATCTTAATTCCATAGAAATATAGGCATTGAGTTAAATTGAGCAGGCGAGTAAGAAGTCGACAGATTCTTACGAGCAATATAAACCTTGTCAATCAATAACCCAGATAAATCGATTAGTCATCTTAAGCTAAGGACACAACAAGATTGTTAACTAGCCCGTGACCCTGGAATATCCTCTCCTACTGTGTGTTATTCGAAACTGCTATTCGTTTGGTTAATTGCTTTAGTTAGATTATTTCTTGATAATTTAGGTAGTAAAATAAGTACATCTTTATTCTGTGACGCATCTCGCAAGGTGATGGTGACTCACGAAAGGCAGCTAAGCAAAAATCAGCTGGGTTACTTGAGCTCGACGAGGTGTCAGCAATAAGAGCCGAAATTGCAAGGCTATCCAATCAGATGACGAGGATGACAATGCAGCAGCCACAGCCAATGCAACAGGTACAACAGATGACTATTTGCTACGAACTGTGTGGTGACAGCCATATGAGTAATGTGTGCCCCACGAATCTAGAATCCATCTATTATGTGGGGCAGCAAAATAGAGGCCCACCGAACCAGCATGCACAATACGGGAATTCCTACAATCCAAATTGAAGGAATCATCCCAACTTCTCATGGGGTGGAAATCAGCAGAATCAGAATCAGTATAAACACCAAGGGGTTTTTAATCAGCCTCAGAGACCACCCCAACAAATGGAAGAGAGCACAAATGATTTACTAAAGAAGTTGTTGATTGACAATCAGCAGCTCAGGACCGACTTCAGAAATCTTGAGAGGCAGATGGGGCAGTTAGAAACGAATCAAAACACTAGACCTACAGGAGCCCTCCCCAGTGATACAGAAAAGAATCCGCAAGTGAATGCAGTTACACTTAGAAACGGGAAGGAACTTGAGGAAGTGCCAAAGAAAAGGAAAGATAAGCCCGTGCCTGAGGGGGAGTTGATCCCTAAAGTGACAAATAAGCCAAAGAAGACTGCTGAAATTCCAGAGCCAGGGGGGGCCCCAAGGCCGCCACCACCTTTTCCCCAGAGATTGCAGAAAAAGAATGATGATCGCATGTTCAGCAAATTTCTCTCCATGTTGAGCCAGGTTCAATTGAATATCCCACTTGTTGATGTACTCCGTGAAATTCCAAAGTATGCTAAGTACATAAAAGATATAGTGGCTCACAAGAGAAGATTAACTGAATTTGAGACAGTTGCACTTACTGAGGAGTGCACTTCTAGGGTCCAAAATAAGCTCCCTCAAAAGCTTAAGGACCCTGGCAGCTTCACGATTCCTGTGCGCATTGGTAATATTGATGTGGGTCGTGCTCTTTGTGATTTGGGGGCAAGTATAAATCTGATGCCCCTATCGTTGTTCAGGCAATTGGGTCTTGGAGCTCCAAGGCTAACTACTGTGATGTTGCAGCTGGCTGATAGGTCGATAGCACACCCTGAGGGGGTGATTGAAGATGTGTTGCTGCAAATTGGGAAATTCATCTTCCCTGCTGATTTCATTATCCTCGATTATGAGGCTGATGAACTGGTCCCAATCATATTAGGGCGACCTCTCCTGGCTACTGGTGATGCAATTATCAAAGTGAGAAAGGGAAAGATGATCTTGAGGGTAGATGAGGAGGAAGCAGTTTTCAATGTCTACAAAGCAATCCAACTCCCCTGTCACAATGACGAGCTGTCCATGATATCAGTTATTAAGGTTGATGAGCAAATTCGTGATCCAAGTGTATATCTAGACGATTCTCTAGAGAAAGCACTTATGTTATTTGATAGCCTGGGGAATGATGAGGAGGTTGAGGAGATGATGCACATTCTTGATACATCTTGTGCATACATGCAGGGGACACACCCCTTTGAACCTTTGAACAGGCCACAGGGACCTCCTCCAAAGCCGTCAATTGAGGAAGCCCCGAAATTGGATCTTAAACCTCTCCCATCTCACCTGCAATATGCTTATTTGGGAGACTATGACACTTTACCTGTTATTGTTTCTTCTGACTTGTCTAAATTGCAGGAAGAAAAGCTGTTGAGAGTGCTACGAGAGCACAAGCGAGCAATTGGGTGGACGATGTCCGACATAAAGGGCACTAGTCCAGCCTTTTGCATGCATAAAATCCTCATGGAGGACGGACACAAGCCCAGTGTCGAGCAACAACGACGACTTAACCCAATCATGAAAGAGGTGGTAAGAAAAGAAGTGATTAAGTGGCTTGATGCGGGTATTGTATTTCCTATCTCAGACAGCAAATGGGTAAGCCCCGTCCAATGTGTACCCAAGAAAGGGGGGATGACTGTGGTAGTTAATGAGAATAATGATTTAATCCCTACAAGAACTATTACCGGGTGGAGAATTTGCATTGACTATAGAAAATTGAACAATGCCACCCGGAAGGATCACTTTCCCCTCCCCTTTATCGACCAATTGCTTGATAGGTTAGCTGGCCAGGAGTACTACTGCTTCTTGGATGGTTACTCTGGGTATAATCAGATTTCTATAGCCCCAGAGGACCAAGAGAAGACCACTTTTACGTGTCCTTATGGCACGTATGCGTTCAAGAGAATGCCCTTTGGTCTTTGTAATGCACCTGCGACTTTTCAAAGGTGTATGATGGCCATTTTCACTGATATGGTCGAGAGGTTTGTAGAAGTATTCATGGATGATTTTTCTGTTTTTGGATGTTCTTTTGATAACTGCTTAATGAACCTCGATAAAGTACTTTCTCGGTGTGAAGAGACTAACTTGGTGCTAAAGTGGACAAGGCAAAGGTGGAAGTAATTGAAAAACTGCCTCCACCGATATCTGTCAAAGGCATCCGCAGTTTCTTGGGCCATGCAGGTTTTTATCGTCGTTTTATTAAAGATTTCTCGAAAATTTCATCTCCCTTGTGCAGGTTGCTTGAGAAGGATGTTGCCTTCAAATTTGATGATGCCTGTCTGAAGGCATTCGAGGAGCTGAAGGGCAAGTTGGTGACTGCACCGATCATAGTTGCTCCGGATTGGGAGCAACCATTTGAATTGATGTGCGACGCAAGCGACTTAGCTATTGGAGCTGTCTTGGGGCAAAGGAGAAACAAGATCTTTCATTCCATCTACTATGCGAGCAAGACCCTGAACCCAGCTCAGATGAATTATACCGTCACTGAAAAAGAGTTACTTGCAGTGGTGTGGGTGTTTGACAAGTTCCGGTCATATCTTGTGGGGACCAAAGTCATCGTCTACACAGATCATTCAGCCATCAGGTACTTGTTTGAGAAAAAGGACGCCAAGCCGAGATTGATTCGGTGGGTCCTACTGTTGCAAGAGTTTGATTTGGAGATCCGGGATCGTAAAGGAACAGAAAATCAAGTGGCAGATCACCTATCCAGATTAGAAAATCGGAACCATGTGGCTGAAGGGGGTGCAATCAAAGAAACATTCCCTGATGAGCAGTTATTGGCAATCACCTCAAGCACAGCTCCGTGGTATGCAGACTATGTGAACTTTATTGCAAGTGGAGTGACACCACCAGAATTGACACTAGACAATAGAAGAAGGTTCTTGCATGACGTGAGGCTTTACATGTGGGATGAGCCATTCTTGTACAAGCTCTGTGCTGATCAGTTGGTGCGGAGGTGTGTTCCTGAGGAAGAAATGAGCTCCATACTTCATAGCTGTCACTCCTCGCCATATGGGGCTCATCACGGTGGAGACAGAACCGCTCAGAAAGTCCTGCAATCAGGTTTTTATTGGCCAAAATTGTTCAGGGATGCACATGCCTTTGTTAAAATGTGTGACAGGTGCCAGAGAACCAGAACAATCACGAAGAAGCACGAGATTCCACTGCACAACATTCTGGTAGAGGAGCTGTTCGATGTTTGGGGAATTGACTTCATGGGACCGTTTCCATACTCTAACGGTCATAGGTACATCTTGGTGGCAGTTGACTATGTGTCTAAGTGGGTGGAGGCCATTGCTCTCCCCACTAACGACGCAAAGGTGGTGGTAAGCTTTGTCAAAAAGCACATCTTTACCCGTTTTGGAACTCCCAGAGTGTTGATCAGCGATGGAGGTACGCATTTCTGCAATAAACTGTTGAACAACGTCCTTGCAAAGTATGGGGTCAAGCATAAAGTCTCCAATACCTATCACCCACAGACGAGTGGTCAAGTGGAGATTTCAAACCGAGAGGTCAAGCAAATTCTTGAGAAAACGATGAGTGCAAATAGAAAAGATTGGGCTGGGAAGTTAGACGATGCATTATGGGCGTACCGAACAGCATACAAAACTCCCATAGGTGCTTCTCCGTATAGATTAGTGTATGGGAAGGCATGTCACTTGCCCGTTGAGCTTGAGCACAAGGCCTATTGGGCAATAAAGAAGTTGAATATGGATGGGGACTTGGCTGGAGAGAAGAGGTTGCTGCAACTAGATGAGCTCGAGGAGTTTCGATTACACGCATATGAGAATGCCAAATTGTACAAAGAGAAGACTAAGAGGTGGCATGACAAGCACATTCAATTTCGAGAGTTCGAGCCAGGGCAAGTTCTTTTGTTCAATTGGAGATTGAAACTTTTTCCTGGAAAGCTTAAATCTCGTTGGTCGGGCCCTTTTGTTGTGGTAAGCGTGAAACCTCATGGAGCCGTGGAATTGAGAGATATGAGTTCAACTGGCACCTTCTTGGTGAACGGTCAGCGAATAAAACATTACTGGGGTGGTGACTTTGCACGTCACAAGACCTCGATGGATTTGAAGGATGCTTGAGAACATGTTAAGTCGTGCCGCGAAGTTAAATCTGGCGCTGGATGGGAGGCAACCCATTGAAATGTTGTAACTGTCGTGCCACGACGTTAAATAAGGCGCTGGTTGGGAGGCAACCCTGTTGTAGTGTTAATTTTGTCTTTTAGGAAGAGCTAACCAATGCAGGTGACAGAGGGTGGATGCAAAGGCCATTGAACAAGGTAAGAACAGGTGAAAAGTTGAAAGAAAAATTGCCAGACGCGAGGCAGCGCACTTGGACGCGCACTTGGGCGCGCTAAAATGAAAACATTCTGCCTTGGCCGCATTAAAAAATGCGCGGAAGCTCATTTGACCGCGCTACTAGCGCTGCAGCGCATTTGACCGCGCATCTGGGCGCGCTAAAATGAAAACATTCTGCCTTGGCCGCGCATTTTTTAGCGCTGCAGTGCATCTAACCGCGCATGCCCCGTTGAAATTCCGGCATTTTAGTGTAGATTTTTTTTTATTTTTATTTTTTCGTTTTCTTTTTCTTTTTCACCTAACTTACTTACCCTCAAGTTACTTACCCACCTCCCCAATTCACTCAACCTCTCCCACCTCCCCAATTCATACGACCAAAATCCCCAACCCTTCACTCAAATTCTTCCAGCGTTTTCCCCCCACATTCCACCAACTTAATCACCCATCTTCTTCTCCACTATCCCTCTCCACAGGTATGAACCCTAGTCTCTCCTTCTCTTTCTCATCTCTCTGTTTTTCTATTTTTTTTATTTTTTTTTATTTTCGGTTTTTTTCAGAGTTTGTGTATATATATACCTTAGTTTTAGTAGTTGTATGTAGTTTTAATGTAGAGATTTTGGTGCCATATGTTGTGGCGTTAGTAGATGATAAGTGTGGGGTGGAATCCCCCGTGATTGGTAATGTTGGAGAATGTAGGTGGGTGTGTCTTGCTCTATCATGATTAAAAAAGAGTTGTGAAGGCCTAATGCCCACAATGTGTTTGTGGAAAGGTCCCAATGAACATGAGTATATAGTTTGTGACCCCGGATGCGTGTGAAGTCTGAGTAACCGCATTGAGTCACAAAATTTTTTGTTAGGCTGTGATAATGTGTTATTGTTTTACAGGTATCATGACTCCTTCCAAGAAACGACGTACCAAAGGTGCTTCATCGAGCAGTCAAGCTGGCTCAGCTAGGCCTTCACGAGGGGCTGCCCCTGCACCCTCTTTTGATGCTACTAAGTTCGTATCGCCCAAAGCTCAGGCCCTATTTGCAGAAAAGGCTCGTCGAAAGCCTATTCCGGAGAGAGGTGTTGACATTCGATGGCTTCAGAAATTTTGCCCTCGTGTGTATGATGAGTTGATGAGGCGGGGATTGCAAACATTCCTCAATGAGCCCGGTGAGGCCAATGCCAAAGGGAGTTCTACGCCAACGTGCCAGAGCATAATAATGGGATAGTCACGGTACGCCGGCGAGCGGTGAATGCCTCTGTTGAGGCAATACGGGCGACCTATCAACTGCCTCCTCCCCCGGTGACTGGTGATTACTTTCATGATTATGGGCGCCACCCAATGACCGATAGAAAATGAGAGAGATTCTTTGAGACTATTTGTGTACCCGGCAAAGAAGTAACCTGGATGGACTATGGGGATAAGTTCCTTTCCTCATCACTCACCTATTAAGCCAAGTGTTGGCTGCACCTCATTAACAACCGCCTAATCCCGTCGCTCAATAAAACGGAGGTCAATGGGCCCCGAGCTGCTCTTATCTGGTGCTTTGTCAATGGCTACGACTTTGATGTGGCTAAGGTTATACACGACGAGATGTTCGTCCGCAGCCAGGTAAAGAGGCATGGATTTTTTTTCCCTTCTTTAGTTACTCAACTATAGGGATGCCCATGTGCCAGAAAATATAGCTGTGGATGGGCTGGTCAAAAAGGAAGGCAAGTTCCGTGCGGATAAAGTGAAGACGGGCAAGGAGCCGGCAGTGAGAGAGGCAGCAACATCAAGCAGCTCTGATGATGAGTCCGACGATGAGGATAGTGATGAGGAGCTTGAAGGGGCCGCACCACTGGCCCAGGAGCAAAATATGGCAGCTGCCGGAACCTCTGCGCCTGCAACATCTTCCGGGGCTGCCCGGGTGTCTCGTTTTACTGCTATGGAGCAGGATATGGCAGGTATGCGGGCCTCCATGATTGAGTTGGGCACCCGTGTGGACTCTATAGTTGACCGACAAGTCAAGTCGGAGAAGAAGTTTATGGGTTGGCTACGAGCTTTGGGGCGTGCGTGCAACGTGAACCCCGAAACCGTCTCCGACCAGGAGTAACACCTTAGGGAAGTCCTTCACCTCTCTGCTCTTTCTAAGTTTCATCCATGGGGACATGTCTGCATTTTAAGTGTGGGGTGGGAATTTCTTCAGTGTATGTTGTATGTAGTTGTATGAATTAACTGTTTGTTTTGTTTGTTTCATATTGACTTGAAAGTTTTTGTTGAGTAGGGGGGATTTCTTCAGTGTATGTTGTATATAGTTGTATGAATTAACTGTTTGTTTTGTTTGTTTCATATTGACTTGAAAGTTTTTGTTGAGTAGGAGTCGTTTGTTAATTTAGGTAAATGGCTCTGCCCGACGACGGATCCCTTTCGACGGGGTTCTTGAGGGATTGAGTCGAGAAAAAAAAACTGAAAAATTGTAGGCTCTTCCTGATGACGGATCTTTTAGACGATTTTCTTGAGGGAAGTGAGTCTAGAGAAAACACCAAAAAGATTTTTTTCTTCTTAGGTAGTGTATCAACTCCCCCTTGGTTTTTCTTTAGGCCGCGGTTCTTTTCCAAGGGTTTTGACTTGAACCGGGCATAGGTAGTTTTTATTTTTGTTTTCTTTTTGATTTTGTAGATTAGGGTAATGGGCCACGAGCTATAATTGAAAGAGACCCCAGAGCGTTGACACACCTGAACACAATAGACCCTAGAGTGTAACGCTTAGTCTTAATTGTTGAATCTCACTGAAGGTGCCGTAATTTGTATGTTTGTACTGAATTGAATGCTCGTAACGGAGCGTCTTGATGAGCTAATCTGAATGAGTCATATGCCATGTGTGGTGAGGTTTTTGTATAGTCCATGCATTGTACTTGTGTCTAGAACTTGCCCAGTATGTGAATTGAAGCGAAATCTTAGGTGATGCTCGGTTTGAAAAATGATCTTAGGCTTTCTTTGACCTTTTTGAGCTTAATTGCTTATCACAAATAAAATCTATCCCTAGTTAACCCTTTTGAGCCTATAGACTTTTATTTGGCACCCACATTACAAGCCTATACCCTTTTTATTCTTAATTGACATTGTTTTGATCCTTTTACCTCTTAAAGCACTTTAATTGAAAAATGAGCGCTAACAGAAGTAAGAAGGAACTAAGAGTGGGGTGGCTTTTGAGTGGAACCAATAGAAGGAAGAAAGGTGCACTTGTTTTGTGAAATAATACACCACTATCAAAAAAAAAAGAGGTGAATAAATTGTCTTGTTCTTGCTAGTGGGTATAAACTAAAGTAGTGCTTAAAGAAAGAGGGAACAGTATTGGGAGTGATTTTAGTTATGAAATTGAAGTAGGGATTGAAGAAATTGCGCTCAAAGTGATTATGTGATGTGTTAAAGTGCTTAGAAGGGTGAAACACTATTCCTAAATATATTCTACCCGTCCCTTAGCCCATATTACAACCATAAAAAAATCCTAATTGATTTTAGACCGAGTGAGCCTACATTAGTAGAGATTTACATTAAGGGCAAGCTTATGGTACCATTTGCATACATGTGACTTCTTTTGTGAGTGTGAGTGATTATTCGTTGATAATATCATGAAATTCGATTGTGTGAATTGATCTATATAATTTTGCTGTGATTGTGAGGGCATATGATTCGTGACGGAAAAGCAAATCTTGACTTCTGTGTAGAGTACTCTGAGGAAGTGTGAATATTGCAGGGCACTTGAGAGTCGGCTTTGAGGCTAGGGTTGTTCACTACTAGGCGTAATGTATGTACATTGTTCTAGGTGTAAGGCGTTAGAGGAAAAGGTTGAGTGAATGAATCTCTAGAGAGTATAGTTTGATTGCTCGAGGACTAGCAATGAATTAAGTGTGGGGTGTTGATAATAGGAAAAATCTAGATGATTTAGCTATTATGTATGCTTTCGCTTGATTATATTCCAAGGTCATATTATGATTAATTGATGAAATATGGGCTCTAATTGTGAATTGTATATATCTCAGGTTAAGAAGCTTATATTATGCTAGAAAATGTGATTTGGAACCATTTTGGAGCAACAAAGATCCCTCGGAGTTTTGTATGGTTGAAGACAAGGCAAAATATTAAGGCCACAGCACAACTGGGCTAGCGCGCCCAAATGCGCTGCAGCGCTAACAAATGCGCGGCCAAGACAGAACCTCAGCAAACTAGCGCGGCCAAATGCGCTGCAGCGCTAGTCCAAAATCCGGCGATGGTTCATTAGGGGCAAAAGTGGAAATCTGGAGAAAAAATTCACTTAACCTATATAAGGTCAAGCTCGCCCAAGGAAGTTTTTATCAAGGTTTTCATAGGCTAAAGCAAGACAGAGAGAGGCAAGAGGCAAGGAGGAAATTGGATCATCAAGTTTTTCTTTTCTTCTCTTTGTTTTTGCTAATTATGATGAAATTGAATATACTTGTGATGAACAATAGTATGAGTGGCTAAAACCCATTGTTCTAGGGTCATGGGTAAAACATGAATGTTGTTGTTTGAGGTTTAATTTGACAAAGTTGGTTTATCATATTGGGTTGTTTATTTGATTCTGTTATTAATTGTTTTGCTGAGTAGCTAACAGTGAAACACTATCTATGAATCTAGAGTTGAACTCGAAAGTGGGAATTCTAGGTTGCATATAGAATTAAATAGAGCAAGTTCTTGAACCCGGGCCTCGGGGAACGGATTTGCAATTGGGATAGACATATACCCACTTGCCGTGCTTGGTTAAAATACAGGAATTGTAAATGCGTTCTTGTTAATCTTAATTCCATAGAAATATAGGCATTGAGTTAACTTGAGCAGGCGAGTAAGAAGTCGACAGATTCTTACGAGTAATATAAACCTTGTCAATCAATAACCCAGATAAATCGATTAGTCATCTTAAGCTAAGGACACAACAAGATTGTTAACTAGCCCGTGACCCTGGAATATCCTCTCCTACTGTGTGTTATTCGAAGCTGCTATTCGTTTGGTTAATTGCTTTAGTTAGATTATTTCTTGATAATTTAGGTAGTGAAATAAATATATCTTTATTTTGTGACACATCTCTTGAATAAGTAAAGTAATTGGGTTTGAATCAGTCAATAGTTGATCACAAGTCTTCGAGGGAACGATACTCTACTCACTACTCTATTACTTGACGATCACGTGCACTTGCGTGGGTGTTTTTGGTCGCAACAGTAGACTGTCTACATCACACCCCTTAGGGTGCGGCCCTTCCCCCACCTTGCATGAACGCGGAATGCCTTGTGCACCGGGCTGCCCTTTTTAAAATTCCGTAAGGATAGTGATTACACGCACGGTCAAAGTCGCAGTCTTCTATTCTTGCAACTCTTCCAACAGTTTGTGGGGGTAAAAATTAACATGGAGGAATCTGTTATGATATCTTTTCGGTCCTACCTGTGTGTGTGGCGTTTCTTGTCTTCTTTATTTGCTGTGCATTTAGTTCCAGCAAGAAGCAGAAAAATGACGAGCTTCCCGCAGGAACCAATATTGCAAGCCTAGGGAATAGAGTTTTTGCCCATCAAACTAATGATGGTACTATTGCCATGGCTACTCTGACCAACATAACATGTAATACGAGTAGTGGTGGCTTTCAAGGTGACAGTGGTGGTGGTTTTGGTTGAGGGGGTGGTCATGGCAGCAGCAGTGGTAGTGGCGGTGGTGGAGGCGGAGGTGGTTGTTTTTGAATAGGTCAAAATTGTAATTACTATTCTTTAGTACTTAATGTTTCAATTTCAAGTTGTAATTTCGCTCATATTATATTTAAAGCTTGTTGTGATAGAAATGTCAAAGTCAAGATAATTGGATTGCCCGTTTGGACAATATTTAGAGGAAAAGTAACTTAAAAAAAATAAATTAAGAAGTAGTCCTTGAAAGTTGAAATTGTGGTTGTATAGTTGTAGCTTTTCTTGGAAGATTTCTGAGGGTTTTGTAGTGGAAAAAGAATTTTTTTTATGAAAATAAAGTGAAAAATTGATATTAACACCGCCCAAAACAATTTACGGGACAATAAGACGCAGCAAAGTTGAGGTGTGCAGTTGATTTTGGTAGGGGTATTTATGTATTATCCCAAAAACAAATGACGCATGATGTTATTATTGCTAAAATTAATCCATTAACTTTATCTTAAATCTTTTCAAGAAAAGTATGTAATTTCACAAATACAATACTTGAGCACAACTTCTTAATCACTTCTTATAAGATTAGATGAGAGATGTCAATTATTCTTCTTCTAGACTTCAACAAAATGTTCTCACTTGCATGACTTTAGTTTATACGTAGTAGATTGAAATTATGGTTTCAATTTACACAGTTCTAAATCATCTGCGGGTCAAATACAGAGAAAGCATATGTAACTGCACTGACCATCCGCAGCTCTGATGCTGCCATAGTTTTGATTTTGTGTTCTGTGCATTGTGGCGAAAAGAAAAGGCGCTGCAATGTGACAAGAAATGTGACTCCTCTGTATCTCCTCAACAAGCATGTCTTTTTTTTTAGCAGTCCGGTGCATTAAGCTCCCACTATGCGCGAGGTCCGGGGAAGATCCGGACCACAAGGTCTATTGTACGCAGTCTTACCCTACATTTCTGTAAGTAACTGTTTCCACGGTTCGAATCCCTAACCTCCTAATCACATGGTAGTAGCAACTTTATCAATTACGTTAAGGCTCTCCTTCTCTACAAGCATGTCATGATGCTTGAAAATGGTGAAAGACCCAAAAGCAGCAAATATGGTGACTGCTGCTGTAGCTGCCACAGTAGCTTTCATAAAAAATGTGACAGAGGAAGTGACTGCAGCGGAGGTGTAGCAGCAAATATCCTGGAGATAGAGATGGTGGTTGTAAAGGTGGATGTGGAATTTAAGCCCCCGTTTGGTCATAGGTTTTGCCAAAAAATTTCCTAATTTTTTTTTTTTGGCAAATAGCTATTTGTTTATAGATTTTATCCATATTTTGGCAAATTTTCAAATCCAAACACCAGCTCAAGAGCTATTTTTTGGCCTAAAATATTACTGTTTGGTTTTTAAAAAAAATTCAAAAATTGCTCCAAACTTTTGTATTTTATAAAATAACCCACTTTCTGTTATTATGACCCAACAAATCCATATCTACCCATTTTCCCCTCATTATTCTCATGGGGCTTTGCCCTTCTATATAAACAGAAGAAAACCTTCACCAAAGTTGTTGTGCCAATCTTGACAATCCATCGCAAAGACAAAATTTGAAGGTAATTTGCTAAAATCTGCTAATGTTTGTATAAATTTTCTTCATATTTATTTTGCTAGTTTTGTATGAATTATCTTCATATTTGTTTCGCTTGTTTTGTATGAATTTTCTTCAGAGTTGTTGGGTATTTTTTAATAATTTTTAAAACTTATGGTTATAAGCACATTTCATATTTTTTTTTAAAGTGAAATATATTTTGAAAAATTATGTCCAAACAGATTTTCATCTTCACACCAAACTTCACCCAAATCAGATTTCTTAAAACAAATTTGGGAATCTACAGCCAAATGCTAGCCAGCCAAAGTGTGTACTGTCATTTTTGTCTGTTTTTTATTGCAGCTACTACCGGTCTCAAGGATGCTAAGGTTATGCATATGTTGTGAATAATTCCTGTCTACAATGTTATGCTGTGAATGATTCCTATACTTTACAAAAAAGAGTTACTTATTGGTTAAGAAAAAAGGTTGCAGACTTGCAGCTTCAAAAATGTATACACAGATTTTAAGTTGGGAAAATAATCACTATCCAATTGAGTGATTAAATGCGGCCTCAAAATTAATATAATATTGCAGGATAAGAACCACAAACAACAACAATAACAAACCCAATGAAATCCCACAAGTGAGGTCTGGGGAGGGTAGTGTGTACGCAGACCTTACCCCTATCCTGAGGAGGTAGAAAGACTGTTTCCGAAAGACCCGCTCTTTCGATAACCGTACCTCTCTATTTTCAAAAGTTAAAAGAAATTGTAGGCACTAGCAAGGAGTGAACTAACCGGGGAGAAAGGGCAACCTCTCAGATGGGAGAGCTGTACATGATGCTGTAACTCCGCCTGTGAAAACTTAACGAGAGGACCATGCAAGCGATAATAACTACAAACACCTTTCAGTTAAGCAGGTTTGTGGACAATTGACATGTCATCATCCCCCTGATTCAATAAGTCAGGATGGCAATCTTTTCAGACTTCCCCTTGCCAAACATTGCAGAATGGACAATGTCTGGAAATGCCCTTTAGAAACTCATTAAATTTCTTCCAGAAGGCATCACTTGACTATAGAACTCAAACTGGTACCTTAGAATATCTACAGCCTTTTGCTAAAATACATCCCTTATCCTCTTCAACCATCCAAGAAAAACATATGGATAAAAGGCATGCAAATGACAGTTTCATTTTAGTTGTGTTGGTGGACAAGCGTTTTAATTGAGGACGTCCTTTTTCTGACAGAAATTATCATTTTTAAAATGGTAACAGCTCATGGTCTATGCATCTTAATTGTTTCATTTCATCCATAATTGTCCACAATGTACAGCTGATCTCTTCAAAGTTCAAATGGGACTGATCTCCGGAGAGAAATAAACCAACGTTGTTTTTCAACAAAACCCAACTGCAACCTGGATATTTCTTTATTCTTTTCAATTTCTTTGCCAACCTAACTTGTTCCTCATCTTTCTTCTTTCCGACAATGCAATACAGGTCTGACAAGATCACGTAAGGAGCTGCACTACTTGGTTCCAAGTCCAAAATTCTATGAGCTGCAAGCTTTGCAAGATCAAGACGCAAATGAGTCTTGCTGGCAGCCAAAAGAGCACCCCAAACCCCAGAATGTGTCTTGAATGGCATTGAATTGATTAGATTACTTGCTTCATCAAGTAAACCAGCTCGTCCGAGGATATCAACCATGCTAGTATAATGATCAGGCTCTGGTTCAATGTTGTATAATGATCTCATGGATTTGAAGTATTTCCATCCTTCTTCTACGAGCCCAGCATGCATACAGGCTGAAAGTACCCCGAGAAAAGTAATACCATTAGGTTGCTCACCTTCATTCTGCAACTGGTCAAACAACTTAAGGGCTTCTTTGCCATAGCCATTTTGGGCTAATCCAGTAATCATTGCATTGAAACAAACAATATTCGGGAAATTTATGAATTTAAAGATCCTGTAGGCATCATCTAAACTTCCACACTTGGAATACATTGAGATAAGAGAACTTTGGATAGACAAATCTAACTCCATATTCGTTTTCATTACATATGCATGAATTTGCAGACCTTGATTTAACATTGCCAGACCAGCTGAAGCACTAAGCATACTACTTAAAGTTAGAGGATTTGGTCTAACTGCACTTCGAAGCATTTTATTAAACCAGCGAAAAGCCTCCTCATATTCCCCTTCATTTACAAAACTAGAGATAAGAGCTGTCCAAGAAACATCATCTTTCTGGGGAATCATTGTAAATAGATGAACACATTTTTCAGTCAACCCTTTTTCAGAAAACCCTGTGATCATGGCTGTCCAAGAAACAACATCCTTTTCCGGAGCCCTTTTGAAAAGCTCATATCCCTCTTCAAGATTTCCAGCTTGAACAAAAGCAGTAATAAGAGAATTCCATGAAATGACATCTTTCCTTAACATTGAATCAAACACACGTTTAGCTGCATCTACACAACAAAATCTAGAATACATAGTGATCAGTGAATTACCCAAGAAAACATCAAATTCAAATCCCAAACGGGAAACCAATCCGTGGACTTGATAACCTTGTTGATGTTTACTAAATCTTCCACAAGCTTCAAACATGATCGTTAGTATAGTAGGCTCCACTCTCATATCACCTTCCCTTCTCATTCTTAGAAACAATTCAAACCCATCTTTGAAACAACAAATTTTCATATACCCATCAATCATAGCACCCCAAGTGACCTCATTCCTCTCTTTCATCGTATCAAACAACTCCCGAGCCTCAATAACTCTCCCATTCTTGCAGTACCCATCAATCATTGCACTACAAGAAACAATATCGTTTCGAACCATACCAATAAAAACACGAACTGCATCGTCTAACTTCCCAACTTTCAAATAACCATTTATCAGTACATTCGAACAAACAGGTTCCCGCAAAACCATAGGAGTCTGATTATACAAATTCTCCGCCATATCAAACCTCCCTGCATTAACAAATCCCGTAATCATCGCAGCAAAAGACACTGAATTTCTCTCAGGCATCAGCTGAAAAAAACTGAATATCCCATTAATTTCAAACCTATTCCTCATGTAAGCCGTCAGCATTGCGTTCCACGAAGCGACACTTCTTTCAGGCATTTCGTCGAATAGTGCACGAGCTTTCTTGAGTTGCCCGTTTTGGGAATACGCCGTAAGCATTGCGGTCCAAGAAACGATATTTTTGGTGGGCATACGGTTGAAAATGGATTCAGCTTCTTTAATGTTTCCGTTTCGGCCATTATGTGCGATCTGGGTGTTACAATAAATCAAGATTTTGTTTGTTTTAGCGCCGGCGTTCAAAAGGGTGTTTGAAGAAGTTGAGTATTTAAGATTTGGAAGCGCAAATTCTGAGAAAGGCAAACGTAGGCGGACATGTAAGAAGTTCGGCTTTGCTAGCATGACTGAGAAACAAACAAAGCTTCCATTATCCAGAGAAAGGGAAGCGCGGTTTTTTCAAAATTTTCTTTTGTTTTACTTTATAGTCCGTATAACTTGTTTTCTTTTGAACGTTGTTTTATTAGCCCACCTATAACAAAGAATTTGTAGTTTAAAATAGGGAATCTTACAAAAATATCTCAACTTACTAACCTCTAGTCATTAATCGTAGATTTATCAAAACTATTCAAGCATATATAAAATAAAAAAATCCAAATAAATAAGGTACTTTCTCTCCAAGAATCACACGCAAAGATCCCCTTCTATATTTTTAAGCGTGATAACAATATTAAATGCAAGACGGAAAGGAAATTTCCTAGATGAGGTAGCAAATAAGGTGATAAAATACAAAAATATATATATATACAAGATTCCAAAAATCTAAGCAAAAAATGACATTTTTCAATGGGTATGGTTGAAATTCATTGAAAACATATAGATGAGTCAAGATACAAAATTTGAGGAAGATTGGAGGTGATTCGGACTGATTTTGTAACTAAATTCGTAGTTAAAATCGAGTTCAAAAAATTCTTCTGCGACACATGTATCTCACACACAGGTATACATGTGATACACATTTGATACAAATATGATACATATGTGATACATAATGATACACAGTGTGATACACATTTTTTTTCATGTTCATATTCTACTTCAGTTTTCAATTCAAATCATGTGATGACCTGATAGGTCATTTTGAGTTTTAGCCTTCAATTCTGTGTTCCGAGACTTTGAATAACTCCGTCTAGCCTTCCTCGATATGTGTGCGCAATCCGTGTCTTTTTCTGAAAAAAATTTTATGTGAAAAAATTTAAGAAAATGTGAATATTTGTCTTTGAAATGACTTGAGTTGACTACGGTCAATATTTTGTGTAATCGGACCCGAATCAGTATTTTGACTGTCTCGATGGGTCCGTATCATGATTTGGAACTTGGGAGTATGGCCGGAATTTAATTCGGAAGTCCATAGCTTGTTTTAACTCATCTTGCCGAAAACTAGTAATTTTGAAAGTTGAAAGATTACTAAGTTTGACCGTGAGTTGACTTTAAGCTAACGGGTTCGGATTTTGATTTTAAAACATGGAATAATTCTGTATTGCTATATGAAACTTGTCTGCAAAATTTGGTTCAATTCGGAAGTGATTTGACATGATTCGGACACTTAAATGTGATTTTAGTGTTTTTGAGTTTCACTTTGAAAATTCATTCGTTTTAAGGAATGATTCGTAGATTTAGATGTTATTTTGTTGATTTGATTGCGCGAGCAAGTTCGTATGATGTTATTACACTTGTGTGCATATTTAGTTTGGAGCCTGAGGGGCTCGGGTGAGTTTCAGACATGTTTTAGATGAATTTGGCTAAAGCTAGGACTGCTGGTGCAATGCCATTTCTGGTGAACTGTTGTAGATCTCGCAATTGCAAGGTCTGGCTCGCAATTGCAAGCCTCGCTTTTGCAAACAATGATTCGCATTTGCGAGCATGTGCTGTGCTGGTGAACCTCGCACTTGCGAGATTTTTGTTCGCATTTGCGACTGTGGACCTTCGCATTTGCGAAGGAAGTGATCGCAATTGACATCACTGACCACTTACCACTGTTGACTGCTTCGCATTTGCAAAGGATGGAAGGTCGCATTTGCGAGCCAAAATGTCGCATTTGCAACAACTGCCTCTTCTAAGACAGGGTTCGCATTTGCGACTCCTTTATCGCATTTGCGAACAAGACATCGCAATTGCGACATCCGAAACTGGGCAAAAGAGGGGGGAAATGGGACTTAGATCATTTCTCACATTTTTTCAACTCTAAATACCCTAGAGGCGATTTTTTCAAGAGAATTTCTTCCTAAATTCATTGGTAATTGACTTTGATCTATTTATTTTCAATTACCCATTATATTTCATAAGATTTCAACATCAAATTTAGGATTTTATGGTAGAAATTAGGGATTTTTGTAGAATTAGAGATTTTTATAAAATTGAGATTTAGACCTCGAATTGAGGTCAGATTTCGAAATAAATTATATAATAGGGCTCGGGGGTGAATGGGTAATCGAATTTTGGTTTGAATCTTGATTTTGACCTAGCGGGCCCGGGGTTGACTTTTTAAAAAATAATCGAAATAGAAGCTCTTTCATTTATGGGTAGTTTCTAGAGCTTATTTTGAATTGTTTAGTTAATAAATTACTAGATTTGGTTGGTTTGGAGACTTGTTCAAAAGGGAATGACGTGGTTGAGTGATTGCTTGAGTTGCAAAGCGAGGTAAGTGTTGGGTCTAATCTTGATTTGAGGAAATTAGTAACCCTTGAGTTATATGTTATGTGAATTACGCGTGGAACGGAGCATATGCGAGGTGACAAGTGTATATGCGCCGTTGTGTTACTTGCTTCCATGTTTTCGTTACCTTTTAGTATATGTTGCTACATGCCTTAATTGATATGTGCTCATTTGACTTCCATGCCATAATTGTTATTTGTCATTTAGTTATCCATGCATTAAATTGTCCATCTCTTCCATAATTTCATGTTTAATTGCTAAATTATCTCTACTTGCTTTACTTGCATATTTAGTTGTCTTGTACCTTACTTGCCTTATTATTTTGTAATATTTGTTGCCTTCTATAACATAGTTACACTTGTATGAATTGTTAATTGGACGATAATAATGAGCTGTTGAAGTTGAGACATACGAAATGTTAGATATTCTTTGAGTATTATGTGATTTTTCATTTGCCTCGTACATTTACTCTCTTGATATAGGAATTCTTGTAAATTTTGGTTGTTGAATTGCTATTGTTGATTTAAATTATTTGGGGAGCGGGTTGCATGCTGCAACGGAAAATAAAAGGTAACGAATTGAAATAGCAAAATAAGGATAGGTTATGATATTGACAGATGATAATATGGTGGGATCGGGTTGCGTGCCACAACAGATTGTTTAAAGTTGATATTATGAGATCGGGTTGCACACCACAATAGATTGTTTAAATTTATATTTGTTTGTGACTGTTGGATTGGCCTTGGTATTCGAGATGAGTTTATGTGACTTGTTATTCTTGGCTCTCTGGTAGTTGGATTTGAGTTCATTGTTATGAAGTAACCATTTCACTTCCGTTCCTGTCTTTTATGTTATTATTATTATTGCTTACAAGTTATTGTAGGTGACCCGCATTAGCCTCGTCACTACTTCATCGAGGTTAGGCTCGGCACTTATAGAGTACATGGGGTCGGCTGTACTCATCCTACCCTCTGCACTTCTTGTGCATATACTGGAGTTGGTCCCAACGGCTTTCAATAGACTTGCTCGGATCCAGCTATTCAGAGGAGACATAGCTGCACGACGTCCGCAACCCTGAAGTCCCCTTCTACTTCCCTTAGCTGTTCATTTTAATTTGGACAATTATGTTTATTTCAAACCATTATATGTTGTATTCTAGACGCTCATGTATTCGTGACACCAGTTTTGGAATTTTGTATTTGGATATCGGCGTTTATCAGTTTTATCTGCTTTATCTCAGTTTATTCAGCTTATTGGTTTTCATTTGATTTGAATTATTAAAAATGATTAATAACTACCTCTATGGTTAGTTTGCCTCGCAAGCAAAATATTAGGCGCTATCATGGTCGTGAGGGTGAGAATTCTGGGTCGTGATAAGTTACTTCAAAACTCCACCAAATCATCCCAAAACTAATATTCAAGCTCCGTAATATGTGGTCAATCAGTTCTAATAACACCCACCCCAAAAAAAAGCAAAAAATTGATCTTTGTTTGGCTACAAATAGCTAATTGGCTAATATTGATAAAAATTGGCTAATATTAGTAATATTTTATGAATTGATCAATTTTTATAATAAGCTACTTATAAATGGACATAGCCTGTAGTTTTCCTTTAAAAAATATGTCATAAATTTGTATATGGCTATAAATTTATGTTACTAATGGTAAAAATTAAGTTTAAAATCAAATTATTTTTTCCAAATTAAATTGAATTATTTTTAAATAAAAAAATATATCATTCCTTTAAAAGACAGGGGACTTCAGCGTACAATACATCTCACATTCACGCAGAATACGACCAGTTATTTATGAACTGTACTAACTTATAATGTATTGGTACTTTTCATATAATTTAAATATGCTAATTTTAAAAAATAATATATGCTAATTTTAATTTAAAATAACTCGAAGATTCTCTATCTGTACTGTGTATTTATATTGAAAATTATGTGCTTTAACTTAGTTATGTTATCTATAGTTAGCATGATTGAGAAAAAAAACAAAGCTTCCATTGTTACACTATGCGTTATTATATTGGCATACATCATAATATATACCTAGACGACTACCTAAACTTGGCTCATACTTTCAATTTGCTACCTCAATTTGGCCTGTACCTATTGGCCACCTGACTTTATTGACTTATGTGTCTATTAAATACTGTTCACTTACCTCGTACAAAAATTTCAGCGCGTGTAAAAAAATGCTTCCAACGTGTAAGGCTATCCCAATTAAGAAAAGCCATGTGTTTTTGTTTTTCACATCATATTAACCCTACCCCAAATTCTTGATCATTCTAGATTAGCCCCACCCCAAATTAAACGCCTCGATTCACAAACTAAAAAAACCTAAACCATCTTCATCTCTCTTCTAAATGCTCTCTATCATAGAACAACTTTTTCTTCTGATTAGGGTTAATGGTTAGTGATTTCATTCCATTTCTCACAAAATAGCTTCAATTTCTGATTCAGAGGTCAATGATGGTTCGTAATAGTTAAAAGTCGAAGTGGATTAAGGCTGGTCGACAAAGAATTGTAAGAGGAGCAACTGGTTCGTGGACTCTTTTTGCTTGTGGGGAAGAAAACAAGACACATAAGTTCTCTTTTAACCTTCTTTATTGTCATATTCTTATTTAGGGTATTATTGAAATTTTGTAGCAAAACAAGGATTGCTTCTGTTTGTGTGTGCATGATACTATAATTTATCAGTGATAGCAGAATTTATCTCCACTAAATTTCACCATGGGGGGGGGGGGGGGGTACATTTACCTTTTGTCGAGTCCCAAAGTATATTGGGGAAAGAAATGTTGTA